TTTTTCAGAAACAGAGTACTGTAGTTCATTGTAATTGTAGGGTTTGCTGGCGGCTACTTCTAATTTCAGTGTTTCTTTGGCATTGGATCAAGGACAGCAGTTTTAAGGTTGCAAAAGGGTCAAAGGAGATAAGTTTTAATTTAAGGTCACTTAAGTGTTGAAGATCTTATTGTTTGCAACTTGGTTAACGTTGGTGTTAGAGAAGAATTCAATAGATCCCAGTCTGTTAGGTCTCCAGTTTGCCTACTTGATCTTCTCCTGTTCACCAGTGTTATTCCTGCCAGTTTATTAAAACCAGTCCCTAATGGCATGGTGTATATGATACTCGGGGGCGACCACAGCTCAGGTAGGCACATATTTACTAGTTTGCACTAACTGGTTCTGGTGCTTGCAGCACTGGCACTGCAGATCTTCCCAGTGCCAGACAGCTGGGATGAACACCTGGGGTTTTAGCAGAAGCTGAATTCCATGCTGATACGGGCTACACTTAGTACACCTGCTGGCTTGAAAATGGAGTTGGGAAGTGATACTGTGCTTTTTTTATATGGTGTGATTCTTCATTACTGTCATTAAAGAACAAGCAAAGAAGAAAGTTAACCATTTCCCTGTCTCTCCTATTAATCCCAGCCACAGTGAAGGGTTTGGATTGTGCTTCTCCAGAAGAAGGAACAGCCTGAGTCGCATCAGAATTATGAGCCAGTCTGGGTAGATGTTTTCCTACGAAATAAAGTTTTGATCAAAAAGGGTTGAGCTGGGAGGTCAGGAAAGCTGGAAACCAAAGCCAAGGATGATTGTGTTAGGGACAGGGTTGAAAGAGGCATAGAAACTCCTGAAAGCTGGACTCTGCTGGAGAAGAGGAACTTCTAGTGTTCTTGTCAATGAAAGCCGTTCTTTCCACTTGCCAGGGATCAGCAGCTCTGCTTTTCAGTTACAGCTGGATGGATGCACAAATTGTCACTCTAGAGAAGACTTTGTTGTCAATGCTAATGCTCCCTGCCCCTGTCATGCTACAGGTCTTAGGCACTTGAATTACCTTTGAGAAGTGCTCGTCTTTTTTCACATTGGGAACTTTTAAGACATTAGAATTTGAAGTTAGGATGAATGAATCCAGATCATGGTGCTAGGCAGGCAGGTTCAGCATCATAGATGTAGTTCCTGCCCCATGATATTGTCTTTAAAGTGAATTTCTGGAATGTAACGCAATAATATATTTTAGAAATTTTATTTCTAAAATACCAAGCTTATTTGATACTTCTGTAATTTGGTTTTCAGAAAATTTCCAGTGTGCTACAAATTTACGTGATACCGTTTTGTGAGCAAGAAGATTTTTTAATTACATCAGTGCTCCAAGATACACGGAAAAGTATTTCCAAGTAACCTTGAAGATCCTTTGAAGTCACTGAAAGGGTAAGTAAATGTCTTTTAAGAAACAAGGAAAGATAAAGGGTTATACGTACCCAGAGTCGCGCTTTTGATACATCAGTAATTGTTGACGCAGAAAAGGGATGTTTGTGGTAGAGAATAGATATTAAAAGACCTAATATAATAATAATAAGGTGCTGTAGGATGGCAGATATAGTTTGCCGCCAATGAGCCTAAGCCTTAACTAAGAATATTCATCATATTGGACCAGCAAACCTTGCTACTTGGTCTGGTTATTTATACGTCCCTATTTACCATAAATACATCTGCTAAGTAAGTTTTTTAAAATTCTTGCCTCATAGTGCCTTGTTTGCTTCTTAAGGTCTAAGCATTTATTTCACTTTTGAGCATTTATTACTTTGTCTTGTCTGACGATTTAACTTTAAGATGTTAATCATTTTTTGGATCCCAAGTTAAAGGTAAGTTGTGGCAATGTGTCCCATGAGTACAGACAGAGTAATTGGGAGGGAGGTTTATTGCTTTTAAACTGATGTCTGGCTTGGTATCCATCATCACTTCTTGTCCTGTGTTCTGATCAAAAGTAAATAGCAGCCCACAGCATAGAGCTTATTTCATCAACTATTTAAAGTTATATCATTGTGGGTTTATGTTATTTATATAATATATATTATTTATATATATTATATAGTTACCTTCACATGCACGCAGTGATGTTTCATTTGAAGTGGAATGCAGAGAAATCCTTTATTTCTCAAAATACTATGACCCAAAATCTAATCTGTGTTAGTCTTTGCACACATGCGATAACTTGTGTAGCTTGGTTTTAGATTTCAGTTTCGGTCTTATGGAGATCCATATATGACACAATATTCATAATACTAAATTGCTACTAATGCATGTACGGACATTACAATATTTTAAAGATTGTTTTCAATTTGTTTGTCTCTTATCCTGCTTTTTGTAGGCCTTTTCGATGATTTGGTCACAGGGATCTGCAGACTATTTTTCCCAGAGTTGTTTTAGAATGCAGTAATTTAGAAAAATATTTCATGCTCTTCTTTTCAAATATATGTAGGAATTTCTCAGAAATGTTATTTTTTGCCCACCAGTACTAGTACTCCTGGGCTAAAGTTATTCAGTGTGGCTAACACCTTTTAACATTCCTGTTTTCTCTATAATTCTAAAAAATTGCTCTCTGGTTGTGTAAGGCTTTAAGGAAACCTAACAAATGTTGAGCAATCTGAAGGTAGTATTTCATATGAAAATGAACTGTCATCTGTTTCCGTTTTCTTATGTTTTCAAGCTGATCATTGAGAGCCATAATGGCAGACACAGGAGATGGACCACGTTCAGGGGAAGATCTGACAGATGCAAAATCTATTCCTGGTTCCAAGGGGTAAGTGAGGTACTTCTGGTTTAAGTCTTCAATTTAAGTCTTGAGGAATGTTGGGCTGTAACAGAAGGCGAGAGCCGTAGAATTGATAATTCTCACCTGAACCTGCGGCAGCCAATTCAGCTGCTTGAGCTGACCTGCTGTGGGGTTATGTGTGCAGAAGTGGAAGTGTGAGAGGCATTTACAACGGTGGAAGGGAGGAAATGCAGGTCTGTTCTTCCTAGTGACGGCCAGTTACTACGCTGGTGTAACCCTGTCATCAGATTATGCTTTCTGGGAACTTAATTTGTTTCTGAAGTCATTCTTTTTAGTATGTCAATTAATATTAGATTTAAGGGCATTACAAACTTTTTATTTGTAGAATATCATATGACAGCGCCCCCCAATCTTGTAACCACTTACCCATGTGCTTAAATGAGAAAATCCATACTGACTTCAACAGATACACACTGAGTAAAACTGACAGCTCTTGCAGAGTCACAAGAGGTGGTGTAGTTGGTGTGCTTGTTAAGGCAGAATTACAGCTGTGTATGGAGTCTTGGTCATTTTCTAGGTTTTGAATGTTTTCTTGTAGAAATTCAGTGGTAATATGACTTTTGGTTTCAAATTCAGAATAGATTTACAATCTGAGAGCTGATCTTGGCCTCCAAGTACTTAGTTTGTCTGATTTCTATACAGGAAGAACCTACCTCCTAGCAAGTCGATGGACTCTGGAATTCTGCCAGAATACAGTTATAGAATGGATTATCCAGAGATGGGGCAGTGTATAATAATAAACAACAAGAACTTCCACAAACACACGGGTACCATTTTTAAATTTTCAAGTTTTTTCCTTAATTTAGATAAATTAGTGGCATGTGTTACTCTTCAGAAATAAATATGTAGACCTGTTTTGATTGCAATGTAAAATTAAATAGTTTGAATGAGTGTGGTTCATTTCAGTGCATCCTTCCAAATATGCTTAGAGGGAAGACATTAGGATATAGCAGTAATGGGGAGAAAAATTGGTAGGTGCTAAAGTCTGTCTTACCTTTTAGTGATGGTTTCTCTTTTGCAAATGAAATCCTTTTTTTTGTCTTTATATGGATGGATAGATATAAAAATAAGGAGTCTAAAGTGGAGGTAAAGAGAGAAGGCGATGGTGTGCATGTATAACAGTGCAATGCTTTTTCTGTTAGAGTGCATCTGGAACAATATTCCAAACTGATAGAGGTATAAATGAGAAAAGAGTTTGGCTCAATCAGGCCATGCCATCTAAATCATAAAAAAAATAATACATTTCTCTTATGTAGGGATGTCATCCCGTTCGGGTACAGACGCAGATGCTGCAAGTGTCAGAGAAGTTTTTATGAAGTTGGGATATAAAATAAAGATCAACAATGATCTTTCATGCGAGGACATTTATAAAGTATTGAAAAATGGTAAGTAATAATACGTTCAGTGTGTGTTTTAAATCAACTACTGTTTCCAAATTCGTCTCTAGCTCTCAAATCTCTTCTTCCATGGTTCTTCTAGATGGTCTTTCACACCTACCAGTGGTTTATTGCTAAGGATGACATGTACATCATGATTTCTATGTTTATTCATCTTTGCTGTCTCTCTATCTTTTGTGCCATGACTGTTGTCTCCGTATCCTTTCTCATCTTCTAAAGAAGGCTGGAAAAAAGGCTGAAACTTAAATGCAGACTGATTTATATTCTGACCCTGGGATCACTGAAGCTCTGTGAGTTGGAAAGAAACCTGCTTAATTGGGTAGAGGGGTTCTGTGCTAATGTGCTGAGTGGTTTGGCCCAAGAGGTGTCCTGATCCGGGGGGAGGTCTGATCAAGGGACCAGAACTGCAAGCGTGTGGACTGAATGACTCTTTTAGAGAAACAACTTGTGTTCTGTTTGACTCGTGAAACAAAACACCCTTCTGTCAAGTGACAGCTTTATACTACTGCTTGTGTTTGTCCTGCTTTGTTTGGACTTGGCCACATCTAGACCAGTAAATTAAATGGTGCCTGGAGTTACCTGTAGCCCTGGAATATGGTGTGTTCTAGTTAACTGTTGGGAAGTTCTCCGGCATGGCTGTGGCTCATCCCCACTAGCCCTCTCCCAGACTGTCCCAGCTCACAGTTCAACAGTAAAAGTCTTCCAGGGATTCTTCCCACCAGCCAGTTAGCCTGCAGCAAGCCTGTTTTCTTTTCTTTTAAACGTGTTTGCTAACATAGGTGTAGGTTTAGTGCCAGTTAATGTTTATGCCAGAGAATGCTCCCAGGAATGGTTAATTTATTAGTATAGGTGCAGCCTGTCTGCTGACAG